TAACTATTATTTATAGAAAATATTTATGTTTATTTTTCTATACATTTCTATATGTACTTTCTTTATAGTGCTTGGATTCTACAACTCTATTTAAAGAGTGCTGTATATTAACAAAATCTACAGTTGTTTTAGAGAAGCAGAGATAGAAAGAATACAAGAGATATATATAATAACATTTCTGCTATTAATCAATTTTATTTTTCTTAGAATTCCATATAACTGATATATTATCTTACCGTTATTTTAAGTCGAGCTATTGGTGGCGATTCCAATGTCTCTAATATCGCTGTAGCACTATTGTAGTTGCCAACAAGAAGACAGTACTGTGCAACTCCACTCCACAACTCAACCGTCTTACTGCGATCACGTATGCCACTGCACTGTGAATAAGAAGAAGCAGAAATAAATTTTTAGAGCTAGTGAAGTATTCTGTAAGATGGATATTAAGTGTGTAGTATTATAAGATATGTGTGAGAATATATAATATTTTTATTATTATCATATTTGAGGATTTTGCACTGTGACTTAGTAATGCATAATGCCCGTATTTCGCCAAGTCTGACATCTTCGATAAATTGAAGAAGTTTAAGTTCTTCATTATATATTTGTTAATAATATATTATAATCAAGAATTTATTAATTTGTGTTTTGGCTTAATGATAATTTTAAATAGAAATGAATAAAACAAAGGCTAATAATAATTATCTAAAAATTATTTAAAAAAACTTAAATGCATATTCCAAAAGTATTGGCTAACTGGATATTGTTTTAGAAATAATTCTTTTTTTTAAATAATTTTTAATGTACTCAAGCAACTGATTTGTGCTAATATTGACTTTATGAAGGATTCCGCTGGTAGTGTGTTTTTAATATATGCGGCACAAAGAGCAAAAGCCATTTACTTGGGCGACACAGTGATAAAGTACATGACGGTCGAACCAATAACTGGTCATTTCCACATATTTCACTTGAATATTTATTTCTCTGGTTGAACTCATTTTCTGCAATCAGAAATCAGAAATTGGTGCCAGTGGTTTCCATTTAAGAAGTCATCAATATGCATTATGCAAGACAGCCAACCACTCGTGTGCATACCAAAACTGCTAAGGCTTAGAGACGACCATTAGGTCATTTAGACATAAAGCTTCATGAGATCTTCTTTTATATTGATGTGAAAATTTACGAATTTAAAAAGAATTCAGTCTGCGTAACTTCCAATATTTATTGTTTAGAATTCAGACTCACTCGACCACATACTCGTTTGTGTTCTTCCTATATGTTTATATGTTGATGATGCCGTTCAACATATATAGCCTGGATGATATAGTCTTTGTGCTTACGAACATCAGTGCTCGTATACTATGGGTACATGAACAGCTGGATTATTTTGTAGCAAAGCATTTTCACTTTTTAAGCTTACACTTTTGCTCCTTGTGCCGTCAGTAAACAAATTCTCAACTAGAAACAGAAATTTAATGCATAATTAATATGTGTTGAAAACTGGCCATAGTATGCACAAATGTTTGATTGGAATTTTGAATTGGCCAAAACAGTGACCGGCTAACCAACTGAACCGTTGAACAGTTGGACAGTTGGGCAGTTGGACAGTTGAGTCCAGAAGAGGATGAAGGTATGTTGGCATACATACAAATTAGATTATGTAAGCGGTACGATTTTCGTTACGTTTTAAATAACTAAATCAAAATGAATCGTAAACCGAAACCAAACAGACCGAAAATGGTTGAAGACTTGCTGAAATGTTGGAGTCCTGAAAGGTTTTCATCAAATGCTAATTTGCGCTGCACGTAAGTGCACATGTAATAGGCAACTGTGTTGTGTCCAACATATTTACTCGTACACCACATCCACGTAAGAGAGAATGCATAAATTTCAGGATACAAATTCAGGATTTTATGATTTTATGATTCTATTTTGTTATTTTGTTATTTTGTTATTTAGGTTCTCATTCATTTTATTTACCTGTAGAATCTCATTGCATACAAATAAACGCAAACGTGCTGACCAGTCCAGATACGTTTCCAAATTACAAGTTTTCTTTGGGTCTTGTACACCGGGTGGTCCACCGGAGGTTGTGGGTTGGTCCCATTTCTTCTGCAATTAAGCAACATTGTATATTTCAATTACTTGCAATAAAAAGCAGTAACGATACAAATTCTTAGAAATGAAAAATAGTATAATATTTTCTTTTAATTAAAATTACAAAATATTTTCGTATTATTTTTGAAAAATAAAAATCCCTTTAAGACCTTACCATTCAGCTAAAGTTATGTTATAATCGATATTCTTGCAATCTTATTAGTATGAAAAGTAAATTATGAATATTTTGGTTTTAATACCAATCTTAAAAGCAAATTATTCAATGAATGAAGTTTGCTTTAAGCTAACGTCATCAGTTTCAATAGCTCGAAACTATATATATTTTTATCAAATTTTATTCAATAGTACCAATGTCTGTAATCCATAGCTTATATATATTGAAGTGCAAATGAAAAAGATATTTTAATCTGATTACTTTTATAAAATAAAATGCATGTAAAACTAAAATAAAGTGCTATCTTATCACTACTGTTTCCCCTTCATTCTACAAATATTTTCAAAATTTTTCTAGAAGAATGAGTAATAAAACTGCTAAGTACAATAGCGGTATTTTTGGCACCTTTCCTTTTTCGTTTAACAAGTATTTTCAAAATGATGTGTAGGAGTGAGTAGTAAAACTCTTGTTTTCCTTTGCACTCTCGATTTAATTGAAATATACCATAGTTGAGTATCAATCAATCAGTAACAAACTTTTAATATTGTAAACGGTATATCATAGTTATAGGAGTATCTTTTTTGTGTATTGGTTGCACTGCTGGTAACAAGCATGTAAAGTCTCAGGTGACCGCGTTGCTTAACTTACATTTGTTGCATTAAAGAACATTTATGGATTTTTCGTCTGCTACCACAAAGAGTTTGTTAAAATTTTACAGAGTAAAAAAACAATTAAAGTATCAAAGAAAACAGTTGGCAATGATAACATGTCTCAACTAAAAATATGTAAATGGTGCGAATGCTTTTGGAAAGGTCGGAAAGATACTGAAAATGTACAGAGAACTGTGTACCCTAACACGTACATCAATGCTGAAGACGTGGTGTTTGTTTATAAAGGAATCACTCTTATAGAGGTCGTTAAAGAAATAGAAACATCGTGAAGCTAGTGTGAAACGATTTTTCTGAATATATTGGACATGGAAAGAGTGGTAGTAAAGTTTGTGCCGAAATTTCTTTTCACATGGAAAATAAATTCAATTTTTTCATATGGAAAGGCTTAAATTTTTGGGTGTCCCCTTCTTTAACACACTCAGCGATATCTCCAGCATTAGTATTAGCCAAACTCTTGCCTTTATAAATGTTTTCGTCTGGTTGTAGCTTATCCATTCTTCTACCTATTATTACGAGGAATTCTGTAATCAAAATGGCTAATTCGTTCCTACCTCTACTTCACCAACATGAAATCAAAGACTATTAAATTTTTTCTCAAAAGACAGGATTCTGTAATTAATCGTTTTTAGAAGCAAAAATCCTTGCTTTTTAGTTGAAATAGTTTTTACTTAAAACAATTTTAAATTATTGCTCAAAGCAAGGAATTTGTCTATATGTTTATGATATTCTATTGATTGTATACAAATATTTTGTGAGCACTTACCTGTTTATCTAATAGCACATTACTACTACATTGCAGGAATTCTTCGGGTCCAATATGTTTAGCCAATTTTTTCTCAAGACGGCACAAAATTTGTGCGTATTGTGAAGAAGTGGCACAGTCTAGATAATTTGCTTCGCTCTATAAGAAGAATAAAGAATTCAAACTGAAACTGTCTTTTTCCTTTAATAACAAAAATTTTGTGATATTTTTGTACTTAATATTACACACAAAAATATATAAAAAATTTCAAGATTAACATGTATCTAGACAATATATATAGAAAGTATTAACTTACTTTCTCGGTATTAGTTTGACAAGCGCGCAACTCTTCCTCGTGCTTCTCCAAATCAGTCAGACGTTTTAACAAGGCACTCAGTATTTCGGAAACTACAGCTTCTAATTGTGTATTGGAACATCTGTCATCGTAAATAAGTAAATGATTACACATATTGGTATAATGAATATTCGAATAGCTGATACATCAGAATTAGGCTAATTATTTGTGATGTGTACAGTTTACAAGTGGACTTACCTAGCAACGATATGTTTAACATGATTCATCATACGCTCATCACGATAATCGTAGGGAAATTTATTTGTCCACTCAGCCAATAATGCGACTAATGACTCCAAAGATTCATCACTATCAGGTACCAAGGATAATAATTTGCCAAGCAACTCATGGGGTCGTAAAAACAAACGTGATGATAATAAAAATGAAAAAATAAATTCCTGCAAATACGAAAGGGAAGCAAAGATGAAATCTTATAAAAATAATAGAAAAAAATAAACTAAACGAAATAAAAGGATTTGTTGGAAAAAGTATAAAGGACGAGGAGCAGTAAAAGGAAATTCTGCGGTATAGTTGGAGCTTTTTGCGAATCATACCTAAGGACCCTTTTTTTAAAACTAAAATAATAAAACATGTGCTTATCTAGAAATTTTGTTTGGTCTAAGCATAAATTCTATTAGCGCCGCGTTTGTTGCTGTCCTTTTTTCCTCCAAAATAAAAGGTTTTGGTGCCAAAAATATTTTGAACACGCGGGTTAAAGGAGCGGAACGTGTATGCTAGTTGTGGTGTGGTAAATAAGCTCTAAAAGGAAATCTGCGGTTATTGTTGGTGGAAAAGCCATTTGGCAGCCTTTCGACGAAGGAGCAAAAAGTTGGATTCGAAGAAAGAAAATGCAAAGTTCTGTATATTGTACTTTGCAGTGTGAAAAGCATCTCCTAAGCCATTTTTTATTCAATCCTTTCGCATAACTGTGCTAATTGCTTTTAAATTTCTGATTTAAGAAAGGTATTTTGTTGGGAATTTGAATTTATTGTCACAAAGTATGTACAGATATTTGATATTTTAACTTTAATGACAAGAGAGTAGATGTAGTTATTTAGAACTTAAAAACTTAGAAATAATATATTAAAGAACAGGCAAAGAATTTATTGTGTTTGTATAATAAAGTACAGATAAGTCCTAAAAAGTTTACTAACAAATTTAAATTATTTTATGCAATTCTTCTATACGCATACCAACTAACTTTATTTATTAATAAATATAGTAAAATAAGTATTCAATTATTACGTAAAAAAGTTCTTCCGAGAATCTTTCATATAAAAAAATATGAATAAAAGAAAACTATTTCAGTAACGGCTTAACTTCTGTAAGGAAGAAGTAGAAACAAGTTCAAATATGCTTCGTTCGAACAAATATTTTAAGGAGCTACACCATTGAGCAAGAATGTGAAGCAAATCATTACGCAGATTCCTTCGTTATTTGATTCAGGCTAAGAACTATTCTAAACTATAAAAACTTAAAAATCCAAGATGATGCAATATCAGATGAACTGATAAGTCCGGAGGCTAACATACGCCAAAAATTAAGTAAAATGTAGAAAGAAAAAGAGAAAATATCTTGAATTAAAATTCAAGTAATTAAACTAGGCTTTATTTCTTTCAAAAAAAAAAACCTATCCAAATAATATCAAGTAGAGAAAATATGAACGGAGGCAATATATATAAGTGAGATAAGGCAAATGACAGAAAAGGATTCATGTAGGTTTGCTCTAGTCAAAAGTGCTTCGAAGTTTAATTAACTTGGTTCAGGAAGAAGATATTTACGGCAGACAATTTTACTCATAATATCGATAAATAAAGGTGACAAACACATCCATAATGAACTATTGATATGTGAATAATACTGATGAATTAAGTGAAGAGATAACAGTTCACCAAGTTGAGCCTAAAGCATATGTACAATCTAAGTAATAAATTTAAAACGCTTAATGAATATACATACTAATTTCTTTTAGACCAAATCATTAAATTATGACTAATAACTCCATAACTCCATAAAAAAAGAAATTAATAAACATTATAATATAAACAAAAAAAAAAAAACAATTTAGGTCTTGTTATATTCAGTAGGTTTCTTATATGCATCTAAATATTTGTATCTCTACATTCAGAAAGTTATATATTATACTATATACAATAATATTTCAACTTTTTATTAAACGTATAAGATACTTACTTTATCAAAGTCAATGAGTTTTTTTGGCACTAGAACTTCAACTAATGAATCCAAAGGCCCAGAAACTATTCTACCATTTATATACATAATGCCACCGGAACCAAGGACAGAACTCTGTAAGTGAAAGGAAATATAAATATTTATTTAATAATATGTTGATATAAAATGGTTTTTTAAAAATTATTTAATATAACACAAAGAATGTGGGTTTGGGTGCATATATTTGCGATGAGCGCAGTTCTTTATAATTCGGAATATTTCTTCCTTGATTTTCGGAACACGTAGTTATTTATGCGGCTATTCATTCGTTATATACCAAGGTGAGTCAGGTTTGAGTCTGCTGCAGTACTCCATAATTGGACTCCATAACTCCATATAGATTTTAGCGCAGTTTTTTATATTAAATCGCCAGGTAACTTTATTATCCTGGTATACTCCCAAGTATTTTGTTTCTACAGCTTGCGGTAATTCGGTATTGTTTATTAAAACAGTCGAACATATAGAACGTTTTGATGTAAATGTTACCAGAGCATATTTTGTTTCATTTTTGCATGAATCATGAATGCAGAAAATCTATTACTACCAATAAAAGTAGAACATAATGATGCTTAATGAAAAATAAGGTTGCGCCTCTTTCTCTTGCTTAAAAGCCGTGAGGACGGCTTTTACCAATGAACAAATTGGTACTCAATAAGACGCACTCTCCAAATTTAGCTTTTCAGGGACTATTATCTATATGATAAGTCTCGAAAGTGTTTTGGAGGATGAAATAGGACGAAGAAGGGTGACAGTAATTGTATTTTACAATTTTTAATCTATGTTGAAAACAATGACAATTTCTGACTTGACGTGACCACGACTCTCTGTATAAAATGGCCCAAAGTTATTTATGCAAAAACTCTTCAAAATATGAGTACCAATTATACATTATAATTCAGTTATGTCAGAGTATAGCAAGTTCAATTAAATTTTTAAAAAATTTAGTTACCTTTGAGAAATTTTTAAAGAACTACTAGTAAAAAAAAAAATTTTTTTTAAATAATAAAAAACAAAATAATTTCAGTTTTACAGTTTGCAGTTTTCAAAATTCACTGTTTTCCCACGACACTCTTTTTAAGAGTGCGTTCAAAATTCTTAGTACATAAGTCCATTAGAAATTCAACTACTTTTCTGGAGCTCAACAAAATTTTAAAGTTATATGCAATTCAATAAGACGTTTGGAACTGCAATAGTCAATATGGAAAAACAATTAACTGACGATCACATTGTCTTGTTACGAGTTATATTCAATGACTACGACGACGAATCTAATGAAAGATTGTCGGCAGGAAACTTTACAAAAGCTGTGTGCATGGTTTATAATAGCATTGGTGAACCGATCACGGAAACGCAAGCCCAGGCTATTACGGAAGAGTATGATGATGGCACTGGTTACTATAAGTTTGATAAGTTTGAAACCATTGTAACTAAGAAAATGATTCAAACTTATACGAGACCAGAAATGCTTAAATTATTTCGAGCTATGGACACGGAATACAAAGGCTTCGTAACCGCTGACGAAATGCGTCAAAGTTTTGGTGATCGTTGGTCAGAAGATGAAATTCAAGCGGCTGTTCGTTATGGTGGTGGAACGCTTACATTTGAGGATTTTTTCACGCTTATGAATCCATTTAAAAATTAACTAATTAAACTGAAACTCGTCATATGGGTCGTCATCAAAAGTTATACAAAATTCTGCTTAATGTGATCACAACATTACTCCTAATTTCAATAACAAATAAAACCAACAACTGCAATAGCCAAAATGCATTTTTGACCCAAAGAATTTTTTTTAATTATATAAATTACAGTTTTATTATCTTTTCTATTTTATATTTTTTTTTGTCAAAATATTTGGAATACATAGATTATATTCTTGTAAGCGTCATGAAATAAATCGATCCATTGCTATGCTACTATCAGGCTGTTTCAATGGCAGCCAGACATTCCAGACAAAGGACGAAAATTAACACAGACTTTGTAGAGATGCTTAATATTGAGTAGCTTTAATACAAAAAAAAAATTTCCTTGTTAAATGCAAGAGTTTTGACGTCTAAGATGATCTCAGAGACATAGAAAGTGACCACAAGAATGCTTGAATTTTTAAAGTTGCTGTTCCTAGTAATGATTGGTACATTTTGTGAAAAAGGTCCTTTGTATAACAACAAATTAAAGGACGCTTCAGCAAGAACTAAATGTGGGTTACCAGATATCATCAAAACTTTAACGGTTGTCAATTTTCACAGTAGTATATAAATGCACTTCATTGCAAGTTGATGACATTGCTGCATCTTTAAGAAATGTTATGATAAGCCGAATTGGTTCAAAATATGTAATAGAAAAGCACTATAACTAAGGTAATTGTTAGAAACGCTTCAAAAAAAGATTGTTGTTGGTCACTATTTATATTTTGAGCCAAATTTTGAAAAAATACTAAGACTTCCGGTAAACGAATTGTTGTATACCATTTGGAATTGACTGTTTTACCATCTAGTAATAGTATCCGTAAAGTTACCACATGACCAGTTTTCCCGAAAAAAACAAACTACCATTTGTTTCGAAGTACTTGGAGCGCGAACAACTTTTGTTGGATTTGGTTCATCTTCAAACATCCATACAGTCGACTGTTGTTTAAGTGTAAGTTTAAGGCTCATATATCTCATATGCGTATATCCATGCTTCATCAGCTATTACAATCCTATATACTCGTACGTCTTTTGAAGCACAGGGATTGTACTCTTACTTCTTGAGCATTTGTGTGCGTTAATCGACCTAAGCATCTTTTTAAGACTTTGTCAAAGGATAGCAGACAGGATCCAACAAGAACAAACCTTTCTCGCGGCTAAATGATCGTGAAATGTTTTAAATATGCTTGTGGGACTAATGCCTAGGGTTCAATAATGCCTCAATCTAACAGTATATCGCATCAATGATTTCTGCCACAACAATTGATTTTGGCTGACCATTCAGAATTTCGGTAGTAAATGAGCTGCGGTCACGATTAAAATCATTGTACCAAGCATTTCACAGTGCCAAAGGATGGAGCTTCCACGTCATAAGTCGTCGTGCGTAATAAATCATAGGACGAGAATTTGTTTTTTCCATTTCTATTTTTTGCGAACACTTAATCACTGTAAATAACACATATAAAGCTATTTTGATAAAAAGTCTAAGGTAGGTTACGTGCTGGGTCCACCAGATTGGACGAATTGGTGGTCCCAATATTGCCTGTTTGGACAACTTGGACAACTATAAGTTTATGTAAATGCTGGAGACTAAAATTGCATTAACTAATGACGTAAACACACTAAATAGCAGATCGAGTTTAAATCTCGCAGAGTTTTATAATGCAGTGCTGCGCGTTATTCAAATAATAAATACTGGAAAAATGCTTTTATATTCTAATTATGAAATATTTGTTTTAGAAAGTTTCGGTTATGATTACCTCGTAATTGACATCAGGTTGTATGCGTTTATGTGTGTTTTTAGGTACATCGTATTGCACAATATCGCTATCCATATTTGAGCTGCCAATTCCATATCCGATAAAGTTGCTTCTAGTTGATCTAATAGTTGAAACCTAAATTGAAAACAAATTAAAATTATTTTAAATTAATTATTAATTAAATAATTTGTAAATAATTTCATTCAATACAAAAACAACTTCGAATTACTCGAAAACTTTTGCGCCTCAGGTGTAAACTTACCTCAGGTGTTTGAAAACCCAATTCAATATCATATGCATCCAATTGTTCGCTAAATCTACGCCTAAGTCTAACACCGCTAGACACTGTTTCTAATGTCTTATTAGTGGATATATCGATATCAGTGACATCAGCGTCACCAGTATCAGTTGTGTAGCATTCATCGAACGTGCTCTGTTCGTTGTATTTGTCGCGATCGCGTTGTCCTCGCGATTTCTGCAGCACCGTCTGTCTGCAACGTGTTCCACAAGCGATTGCTGATATTTTACTAGCATAATAGTACATAGCCATGTGTCACGTTTTGGTTAAGGCCCGGTCGCGTTTGCCGAACATTTGTGTTACTAAGCTAGGCGGTCCGGTAAACCAAGGATATCAAACGCAGTACAAAAACCTCAAATTCGAAACGGTTTTCACTTAAGCGCTACGAAACCTGCTAAAAGGTTATATAGTTGAGATATTTAAATGATTTGTTGTCTAATTATTTTTGAATTATTTCTTTCGCTTATTGTTTCCAAAAATCCATCATTTATTTTTGCATATTTAAAATTATTCCGATGCTATAAATGTGGTTCACTTATTCACACTTTCCATGGAAACTGACAGCATCGCAAAACGCTTTGTGAGTTGGGCTCCAATTTTAATTATTTTCGTTTATGTGAAATTGATGATTATCTTTTAAATGCAAATGCAAATGTAATTTTGTCACGTTTCATAGGCTGGACATTGCACCGGCACTGCAAATGAGAGAAAATAAATATTTTTTGAAAAATATTGCAATGCATTTTTAATAAATTATAAAATTGTGTGCTTTAAGCCTCAAATCGTGAGATTGTTAGTATGTTGGGTTATATTCGTTATGACAGTGCATTAACATTTGTTATTATTATTGGATTAGAAACTAAATCTCAATGAATATAAATTCCATATTAAAATTTCACGTCACCTCTGTCATCAATTCACGGGAAATATTTTTAAAATGAAATTAAATGCGGTTTTGTCAAAGGTTGCAACAGTGTTAACCCGCACAGCTTAAGAGCTTATAGAATGCCAGAGAAATTCATTGTAAAATTGGTTAAAATGTATGATATTGTTATTTATATTTTTGTCTCATAAAACTATTAAAATTGATGCTTTGAAAATATCTGAAAAAAACAAGATATAACTATGACTTACTAAGCAACTAGAATTTTGTCAGCCGATTTTGTCAAAAAGGTACGCCTATTTGACATCCGATTTTATTTAAGGTAGCTATTACCAATAACGTTTTCCATTTAGTTATATTTAAATATAGTTTAGTATTGCAGATATCGGACTTTAAACATAGATACTTTTCCATTAAAGCAAAAATAACAAATACAACGTCTATTTTTTTGACAAAAAAAAAAATTGTCTTTATTTTTCTAAAAATTAAATTTGAAATTTTTCGCATCACTGAAAAACTTTCAAATTTTTTCCAAGAAAATACAGACCCATTAGGCTTTGGGAACTTCCATTTTAGATTTATTTATTAATAATAGTATCTCAGGCTCCGTAAATGATAAATACAAACACTTTATAAATACTATGTGGGTTGATAATTATCTGAATTTACAACCGGTGGCAACGCTAGAACAACTGTGACTGTGAGCATCGAGTAGTGATAATTGAAAAAACATAGATCCATTACTTCACACCTGAGGAAAAATAACAAGCCAGAGAATGGATAGAGCTCGTGGGTAGTGCGCCTAAATGCCCACGAAGTCAACAATCGGCTGGAAAGGTTTTGGCTTCCGTATTTTGGGATTCAAGTAATTTTCATAGACTATTTGGAGAAAGGAAAAACAATAACAACAGATTACTATTGCATATTATTGGATCGAAGGAATAAGGAAGTCAAGAAAAAACGACCACATTTGTCAAAGAAAAAACTTTGCTTTTGATAGATCGTTATCTATCAAAAGCGCGCTCACTCATCAATATAAACCATAGAAAAATTAAACGGATTATAGTACGAATTGCTTTCTCACGCACCGTATTCTCCAGATTTGGCTCCTAGAAACTATTACCTGTTTCCAAACTTGAAAAGATAGTTTCAGGGAAAGAGATTTGCATTAAATGATGAAGTGGAATGGAAAACTGAGGTGTGTTTTGGGGAACTTGATAAATAGTATTATTTAAATGGTATTCAAATATTGAAAGATCGATGGGTTAGGTGTGTCTAATGCTTAAGTTATTAACTTTTTAACACTGTCAAGGTTCTTGATGAAATTTTTAGTTTGGTCAAATTAAACTATTATAAAATACACATTAATACATATAAATAGTATAAAAACAATAAAATAAAAAGTGATCACTTTGGCGGAATTAGTAAAATTATTTTTTATTCTGTTTAATATATTGCACAAAACTCCATTATTAATTTTTGTATAAAAACTATGTGAATCGGAAATATAAATCGTGAGCCCCTCTTATATATCATGCAATCGCGTACTACTCCAAAAGCAGTTATACCAGAAACTCCTCCATCAGTAAAACCAGATTTAGTGTTAAAATATTTAATGATTTAACGATTTTGTTTGATAAAATTCTTGAAATACTGACGAACCCGTCAAAATGTTTCGTAAGAGTGACAGGTTGCATAGACTCAATAAACGCTAAGTCTGGTTGGCCAGTTAACGATAATATGGCGCACCCCTCACACCGATCCATAGTACACAATGCTGCGACACCAATTACAAGAGCAGGAATCACTTCGATGTGTGAAATACCGCATATTACGAAAGATCCGAGCAGTTTCACCATTCCCCATGGTTGGTTGTGGACTACCACCAAAACCACGGGGAATGGATGTAAATGTGATTCCTCTGACTTTGCTGAATCTGGAAACATATTGCGTTGGATTTTCATTAGAAGCTGAAACGGTTTGAGTAAGTCTTGCATTCTTCTTATGTTGCGTTTTACTTAATGTATCGCCAGTTGAGGATTCTGGTGCACACTGCTTCTTTAAAAAAATTTTAGTTATAATTTCGGAAAGTTTTCCGAACGGCATTATAAAAACTTTTACTTATGGAATTTTGTTATCAATGAACGCCAAAAAAAAAAATCTCAAAAAATAAAACAATATAATATATTTTAAGGGAAACAAATATAAAACTAATCTCAAAATATTTTAATTTTTTACGAAATTTCTAATAAAGAAATTTTAAAAATATATAAAAGCCTACTTGCAAATAATTATTTTATTCATTCATTTATATTTCAAATGCAAACAAAATAGCTATTTAAGGTTCTTCATATATGATAATATAGACATAATATAGCTATTATATTTATGATTTTGTTATTAAAAAATTCTTAGTGGTGAATCAGATTGGATAGTTATATTCATTTACTTATAATATGTTCAGAGTTTATATTTATAAGAACTATATATGTTATATATATTTATATAACACGCTTATTCTAATATATTAATTTTGAACATGCATATGAGTAAGTGAAAGATTAGAGTGACGCGTGTTATGACGAAAAGAAACTATTTAAAAGTTTGAAAGGTTCGAATAGAAATGAAAAGATAATAACAACAATTTTTTTAGTTAATTTATTTAAATTTGGTTGACTACACTCATCATCAGTGCTCTTAGGAAATATTCGATTTATTTAATTAGTTTATAGTCCGTATATATTTGTTTGGACTGCAAATGCCAGGCTTAGAACTCGTGCCTGTGAAATTTGAAACGATGACTAATCGTGTTTTTTCACAAGTAGCCAAGGCTGTACAAACTTCCAATGCTCAAGCTACAGATTTTCTTTTTTCACTTTTTGGTTATTAAGTGACACTTACCTAAGCACTTGCCGTACTTTAAATTAGAACGAGTTTTTAAGCTACAGTTTTATTTGAAAACACAAGTTCAATGAATTGAAAGTTAATTCTTAAGGTTGTCTATTTATACTACTATATTATTGCTAGTAATTTATCAAATGCAGCTATAAGTACTTCTAATAAAATAATCATTTAATTATAGCTTGACTACCCATAAACAAAAAATATAGGCGTTGATGTCACTTGATATGAGAAGATATTACAATTACATTTAGAAAAATATTCCCTTACTATCTAATCTCTAATATTTGATCGCTTGAAAAAACCTACATGGTAAGTGACTACACTATTCAGTACTTAAATATCATTTATGAAATGTAATATTTATATTAAGATATTAATATATTGTTTGGTATAAACTACAACCCTTTGGAAGAAAAATTCTATAAGTGTTACAATTTATCGAATTTAATTTAAGACCAAAATCAGAAAATCTTATATCACCATCAAAATGTGATTTCCATAAATAATTTCATCTTATGAGTTTATTTTATATATAAAATATTAACTTAGAGCCTATTCTGAAATATTTTTAACATATTAATAATAGAAAGTTGAAAATAGAATATGTACTATAGACAAAAAAAGGTCAATTGAAAATTCACGCACGTTTTCACTCTAATGTGTGTACTTCCCTACCAAGATTGATGATAATGACATTTTAAGCATACTTTCCACAAAGTTGACTATTGCCTGTAGCATATGTGGCACTTTTATTTTAAAAACCGCACATATTGGCAAAATAAAAGTTCAAAACTACATAAAAATATTTTATATGAAAGGAATTTAATAACAATTTTCTGAACCCTTTTTAGTCATAAAGCGATGAAGACAAGAACAAGGCTAAGCAGGACTATGCTAGCCTAGCATAGGCAAGGTTGGAAAGGAAGATGTTGTTTTAGTACAGTTTTTAAAGATTTTAAATATTTTTGCAACATTTGCAAAATCTACACTTGAGTGGCTCAAGTCAGCAAACACATACATAAACATAAACGCACACACACACACACACACACATACATACTGTATGTACTGTCACACTCTGCATAGTTGCAATGTAAACGTCCACACTGATTTTCCAGGAGATACTAGGACTCAATGGCATATTTGATAGACACTTCCGGCAAGTTTGTTTAAATAACTGAGTGTGTACACACAGAAGTGGGGCTGTCTGAGCGCTGATGTTTGATATTTGAGCGCATCGATTTAGCATTTTGAACATATATTTTGGTTCTGTGTATTTGTATAGTATGTGGGATTGTGTTATCGATTCAAACATTAAGCGGCCAATTTAACCTATCGCATCGTATCGCATAGTGTAGTCGAACGCCTTAATGTATGCTTCAAACGCTCTTCTATTACCGAGCATGAAATTGTTCCCAAAGGGAAATGTAACTCGTATCCTTCTAATCTTTTTGATTTATGCGAC